CAAGTTACATTTTTATTATATAATTAAAATTTATAATAAATTATATATAAAAATAAATATTATAGTTAAATCAATAAATTATATTTAAAATTTATATAAATATATATTAAATTAAAATTAGTAACTAATCAAAGAATAATTAACTTCTATATATAAAACACAAATATATTTATTGTGCCATAGTGTTTTTAGAGACTTTTCTTTAACTAAAAGAATTTTATATATTTTTAAAATTTTTATCTAGTTTAGTTTTTATTTATCATTATTAGTTGTAAATTTATTTTATTATTTTTTTAAAATAAATTAATAATAAAAAATAATTATCCACGGATATATCCGTCAGTAATTACCCATGAATTTATCCGTCAGTAATTACCCACGGATATATCTATCGGTAATTTCGTGGGTATTGTTGATAACATTTTTAAAAAATCATTTTAAAATTATACTAAATAACAACCTTGTTTAGTGAAACACCTCTCAGATTTGACCTCTTAGTGATTCCACTCCATGACACTTCACACTAACCTTAATCTTTTAAAAAAAAAATCTATATTCATATTTAAAAATTTAAATAAATATATATTAAATTAAAATTAGTAACTAATTAAAGTAATTAAATTTTATATATAAAACACAAATGTCTTTCTTGTACCATATCATTTTTAGAGACTTTTCTTTAACTAGAAGAATTTTATATATATTTTTAACTTCTTATCTAATTTAGTTTTTATTTATCATAATTACTTATGAATTAATTTTATTATTTTTAAAATAAATTATCAATAAAAAATAATTACCCACGGATACATCTGTCAGTAATTATCCATGGATACATCCGTCAATAATAACGTCGATAATTCTGTGGGTATTGTTGATAATATTTTTAAAAACTCATTTTAAAATTAATTAAATAACAACCTTATTTTATTAAAAACAATATAGTTCAAAATTGGTAAATTATTATAAATGTTAAGATATTACCTTTTAATTTTAGACTATCATGCATCAATATCATTTTACTAATTATATATCTCAATTTAAATAAAGTTAACTATATATAATATTAAAATATTTTGATAGTAAATTATTATTTTATACTATCATTTAATTATAAATTATATATATAACAGTTGGTATGAAAAATTAATTAGAATGAGAAAATTAGTTAAGTATTTAAAAATTTAATTTGTTAATCTTTTATCATTATATTTTTTTAAGTTATCAACAAACTTTTTTGCATTTTTGACGAACAACGTTTTAGATAGATAATCCGTGGGAAATATTTGTTTGAAACATTATAATTTTCCCAGAAAAAAATTTGTGGGTAACATTCATCTGAAATTTCAGACGAAAAAATCGGTGAATAATATTTGTCGAAATTTTTTATGTTTCAGGCGGACATATATTCGTCAGAAAAATTCATCAGTTATGTCATTTTTCAGACGAATATTTATTCGTGAGAAAAAGTTTGTCGGTAATGAGTGTTTTTTTGTAGGGTTTAATCTCTTACATTTCACTTAATTTTGTGACACACTTACTACCCCAACACATGGATTGTAATAATGAAAACTTAATAAAAATAATTTTCAGTTTCGGTAAAAGGTGAGAGTTTATATCCTGTGCATGCATGTGGATGGGCTAATACTAGGAATGTCTGCCAGGGTCCAACCAATTGCCTTCTTGTACTTCCGAAGCACATGCAGTAACCTCTCTTCTTGATCAACATCAAGGGATGTGGATATGATCACAGGGAATCTCTCATCATCCTCCAAATAAGCATACTTGAGGTTCTCTAGAAGAGGCTTCAACTCTAGTGTGGGTGCTGGCTGAACATCAGAAAGAACCAAAGAAGGGAGAAGGGGTTCCGCAGCCTGTACCTCAACCTGCAAGTCAGATTCTTTTGTACTTCCTGCAACATGGTTAGTGCATTCTGACTGTATAAAATCAAGAGCAAGAGGTACAGCACCTAAAGTGTCAAATTCAGATGCCTCATAATTAATTTCACATTCAGATTGACATTCAGATTCAGAGTCAGACTCAATGCATGAAAGACACCTATACAAATCAAATGAAAATGAATGCCTCTTAGCATGAGAAGAATGAAAATCACGAATGTGCTCATCAACTAGATCATCAATCAATTCAGCACGAAAAACAGAATGAGCTTCAAAAGGAAATTTCATGGCATCCAAAATATTAAAGTGAACAATAATATCACCAAATTCCATAGACAAGGTGCCAGCATAAACATCAATCTTAGTTCGGGCTATTTTTAAAAATGGTCTGCCTAGAATGATTGGGACAGAACCATGGGAGAATCCGTCCTCCATATCAAGAACATAAAAATCAGCAGGAAAAATTAGTTCACCAACCCGAACCAAGACATCCTCTATAAAACCTGTGGGGTGGGCAACACTCATATTGGCCAACTGAATGACCACACCCGTAGGTTGCAAAGTACCAAGAGACAAAGAATTAAAAATAGACAGAGGCATGACATTAATTGAAGCTCCTAAATCAAGCATGG